TATCGCCGAAACCAAGTAAGAACTATGAATCATTGAGCCTACTATCCGAGGTGTACATCTGTTGCTAGACTGATAAAACACTCAGGACTACATATGCAGGGCACAGCAGCTAAATTGAAAGTTACAAAGGCTTATAACGACCAAGAAATCCAAAACAAGAGGCGCAAAAAGTTTCAAAAAAGTCAACTGTTGGAAGTTATCTGAACGACCCATTTAAATTCATATCTTCCTTTCTGTAACGGCTGTTAATTTTTGCATTAGTGATGCTAGCTGAAAGCGTATCAGAAACGGCCTTTCGAGCCATGTTGATGAGTCTTTGAGCCCTTCAGACTTAAGACCTAGTGAAAATCTTCCGGTTTGCCTCATAGAAATCTTTCCCATTTTTTTAGAAGCCGCATGGAAACTGGCAAGAATGTAAATCGTAGATTTCCGGCTAAATAATAATGTTTCTTATTTTACTAGACGATACGTTTAGCGCAAAGAAATTGTAGTAGGTTTTTTCCGCTTAATCTGCGAAAACAACGCATCATCTTCCAGCGTCGCGAGCTTGTTTTTTTATCCTAAAAAGACTAAATTTTTTTTCTTGTATCAACACAGGCAAAAACACAGCCCGCCGAAGTCTATCGGAATTCAGGTGCCGTAGCTTGCGTGCTGGATAGAAAGTATTTATTGAATTTTCTAATTCTATATGCCATTATCAATTCGGGATATAGTGTATGTGGTTATTTTGTTAACTGCATAAGCTTAGCCGTCATTGCTTGGATTGCTCAGAGCTCAGTGGCGAAGCTGGAGATCGCTGCTCCGACTTCCGCAGTGAGACATACTCCCCGCTAAATATTACGCTTGCCTACTGAATGATAGCATTTTTCTATGACATCACAGAAGTCATTTACTTAGATGTTCTAATATATTGCAGCAAGATGGTCAGCACGAATTAACCCTGTATTAGTGAAAAACGTTTTATTTTCAATAGCAATAATTAGGTCAGAAAAAAGAAATAAGAGCCAGCTCCTCGTGTGGATAACAGCAATGCGATGATGATGATGATGATGGTCAGTAACAATTAACAACAACGATGTATGCAATACCAACAGCAGCAAATATCCCCTGATCACGACCTATCCATGCTATGGTAGAGCAAGTTGAAGAACGGAATAATTACAATAACAATGAAATGTAAATATGCATGAATGCGCCCACAGAGAGCAAATGAGGAACGAGGTTTGAAATGCAGCAAAGCGATTTCAAAATCGGAAATTCAAGCATGTTTAGGTTAGGTTAGGTTAGATTAAAGTATACCGTCTAAATGCGATCAAAAGCTTATAAATCCACGATTTAGCTTAAAGGTTTGCTTTTAGGCTGCGTTTAATATTTAAATTACAAAATTAAAAGCAGATTTTGTTGTATGTATGTATGTATATATATATATGTATATATATATATATATATATATATATATATATATATACCACATGAGGAAAAAACAGAACTTGTGTGCTTGTTTAAAGAAGTACGTATATATAAAAAATATATTACGCAATATATATACAAGGTTTTGGTTTCCGCTCAGTAAGGTTAACCGAATGTGTGTTCTTTTTTTTATTGTTTCAAATTTTTTCAGCAGTAGTTGCCTTTATGGTGTCCTGTTCATGAACCGCGAATGTAACATTTAATAAATGGCTTGAATGGCCACATGATGCTGAATAATACTATCTAGTTCTACCAAGTGCTGCTTTGTCCCTCACAACGAAAGTATTGAATGGTGTTATGTGAATAGGTGTCAGGGGGCTATGATACATGTAGATTGGATGCGGGCGGTACGAATATTAGTAAAGTCCCAGTTGAACCACTGACATTACGTTTAGCAATGCCATTAGCGTTCCTCATGTCTCAACAGGGCCTCCTATACGCCATTCAAGAAAAACGTACCAGGTGACTTGAGACAAATTAACATTTTATATTCGTAGAAGATATATAGGAAAGCTAGCTATTTATTTTCAGCTCAATGTTTTGTCTATGGTCAGGCTATGCTTATTACGTGATTACCGGAAACAAATGGTATTAACACTTGGTTTTAGTGATCTTGTCAACCAATCGAAAATTATTTAGCCGACCAGTGTTCGGTGGCTAGCAAGAGAGAAGGGTGCCTTTCTTACTGAGTGTTGACAAAATCCTAGTAGACTACCAGCCGAAACCTGATTAGACCTTCGCCAAAAGATCTCAATACTATTATAAGCTAGTTGCTGCTAGTTCATCCATATTCTATACTAAAATCTGTTTGGCTCGCAGAAGAAACTTAGTAGTCGTTACATTTTTAAAGCCCTCAAAGTTAGCTCAGTTTGTTCAGTCTATCTCTATCAGTTGTTTACGTATTACGTTGTAGTATAGTCTCGTTCAATGTAAATGTTCACATAATGCCTTTATAACGATAATGTAAACACTGATGTTCCATGGCAAGGTGTGCTGTGGTGGTGTCTTACGATTGATTCCTGTGTTGCATTGGTATTAGCCATATACTATTGTATTTGTCCAAGTCAATGTTATTACCCAAAGCTAAACTTTACTTCACCGAGCCAAGCTCGAGCTTCGTCCTGTAAGACGATGTATGGCCCATATATATATATGGTACGTAGTTGTTTCGAGTACTAGATTTGTATATGATTATATTCATCGATATTAACGTAACTGTGAATTATTATTGTCGTTCCCAGTTGAGATGAGAAAGATGGAATGAATCCTTTGGCTGGGGAAGGTTGAGCGCTCCGACAATTTAATTCGTCCCCATTTTTAATGATATTAATTAGGATATACATATATATATATATATCTATCTATAATCTTAATACTATTTACAAAATCAACGTTCAGTCAAGACATTGTAGCTTGCTGTAGTGACGGGAATGACGCTCGAATAGAAGGTGTACTGGAAGATTAGTGGCTATGTTCATTTAAGCACTCGATTTGAGTGCACATATACGAAAAGTATTAATAATTAAGCCAATTGAATGTCTAAAGTTTTAGCGATCATAGCAAAATGCAACATTTCATATGTCCATAGCGCCTTTTTGAGCCTTTTTTTTTTTTTGTTTTTTTTTTTTTTCGCTTTCTCTTCTCTCTCTAGATATATCCATTCCTACTGCCAAGAAGTTGTCGATTATGATGCCGTTATCTTTCTTGCGTTAATTACATGGTGGTATTCGTTTTGTGTTAACATTATAATATTACTATTAATAATAATAATAACTTTCCTCCTTTAAATTCTTCCCGCCATCATTTATAATATTATCAGCTCGACTAGATGTTATATATATATATATATATACCATTGACATTATATAGTGTGATTCCTTATAACATTTAGCTTTCTCTGTTTTTATGTATAAATTATACACTATTACGGATAACTCTCGCGTAAATCTTTCGTACAGCTTCATAGCAGTAATAGAACGATGCTTCTGTAGGTCAGCACTAAAATCAGGTAACTTCAGTGGACAAACTGTCAGTCGTATTATTATACCATTCCAAGTCGTCGTATCCAAATCTGCAGCGGCACCTAGCGGAAGTTATCATCGCATCTACTTACTTGCATCGTAATGATCGGATATTTCTACTTCCATAATAGCTAATACGAAACTATCAGCGAACATGCTCATAGCTAGAATGATCTGTTAATACTAGGCCCAATAGCAACGTGCAACATATTGAGCATTGGACGACAAATGTGTACACAACCTCCATTTTGGGTTCGTTAAGCTCCATAATATTTCTGAGGAATTTATGCTAAACATATCATCATTTAAATGTAATCACCAGCCGCAGTCTTACTTTGTTTGCCTATTGCTATCTTCATACGAATTGGGTGTAGTTACTGTTAGGTGCCGCTGCTAAATTAGAGACGATTCTGCGAACAGCTGGTGTTGTCCTTACCTCTCGTCGACGGTCGCGCACTACGTTGGAACGAATACCGTTTCCGAGCACACTTATTGATCTCGAAACGACAACTTCAATTTTGCCCTCACTCGATAGTGTCGATAGTCATGACAAGCCACAATCAACCTTACCTTACCTTACTACTACCGATAATCCACCAACAAATTTTCGCTAGCTAATCTGTCAAGGTACCTCAGGGTCATAACTCAGACTCGTTCCGATACGAGTTCAGCAGCAGGTGATACCCGAGAGCCAGGTGAATCAGCTGATTCAAGCTTCATGTACATTGCTTTGACAACGGCGGGTCCTGGCGAAGTACCGAAAATCCCCTTGGCAGCAGATGTTTTAAGGTGGCGATTGTTGTGTTCCATATGTGCGATTTTCATCATTTCAATTTGTGCAGCTAAACGTTGCACTTCTTCCTTGAGCTCCTCGTTTTCCTGGTATGGGTCGATTTGCGTCTCTTCGTGACTTAGGCCTGTTGTAATACCATTAAGCGATACGCCACGCGTTCGTGAATGGCTCGTGTCCCACGAATCGCCTTCGCCACGCAGTAATCGGTAGAACTTCGGTCCGAACACGAGTGCTACCGTTGTACTGGTTGACAGCTGTGTTCGGATGAATCCGAACAGGTACTTGATGTCGGGCCCCGCATCAGGCAAGAGCACAAGATGGAACAACATCATCACTGTGTTAACTAGTGCGATGTTGTAGATAGCCACAGAGATGTGACGTGCTTCGTTAAATAGCGACTGCGCATGTCGCACCGAGTAACAGACCCGGATACCCCAAAGTAAGAAAAGCAGTTCGCCTAATGCAATGGTGTGGTCCCACCAGTTATACTCACAGATCTTGAACTTCAATCCCGACCAGTCCTTAATATACACGCCTAAAAAACGATACAAAACAAATGTGGGAGACATAGGTGAGTTACATCAACAGAAAAACTTAATTTAGGAAAATGTGGTCTAGATGGCTAACGCGTATCCCTTCAAGTGTATTGTTACCTGGTTATAGTAGCTATACGACAATCCCTGCTTCAAACTAGCGAGCGTTGGTAAATACGTCAAAAAAAGATGTATTTACGGTAGTTGACCATTAGGTTGATCTTTTACACGTGCACCTATACTGGTCAACGGAATGGTGTAGCAGTGACTGCCAACCTTTGTGACCATAAAATCAATAACTGACCTGTACGGAACCGAGTGACTGCCTCTACTCAACATATTGTTTTTTTCTTACAATCAATTCTAGGTAAAATGCCTAAGCAGATGGCCTCTCTGCTATTCAGACATGCGAGACTGACAACCTTTAGTTTTAAGACAAGCTGGCATATACTGCAGATCTTTTTATTGTATACATACATGCAAAAATGAGTTTTCCCAAATGTTGTTCATCGAAATCTATCTTATATATATATATATATATATATATATATATATATATATATATATATTCAAGGTAAAACACGAAAAATAGGGCTTTTTCTTATGTTTTCTTCCTAAAACTATATCAAAACAAAAACAGATACCTCAACGAAGTTTTTTATATGTGCTAAAAGAGTTATTCCTGATGGTCGCATTTATTTAATATCACTACCATTCACCGTGGTCACCGCTTATATAGAAGGCCTGAACCACTTATTAGTCATTTTCAAAATATTCATTCTTCAACCGGCAAAAAATTTTTAACAGTAACCGTGTGTTGAATAATATTGGTGAATATATATATGCTCCAATACGCTATGAATGAAAATTTCCAACGTAATGAAGTTTCAAGTCAAAAGTCATAAAAATGCAAAGACTTGAAATGACAAAAGGTTCAGGAGGTTTTCTAAAAACTTTTCGGTAAAATTCATCTGGAAGACTGATTCAATTGTCAGTTGATATTTCTCTCTCCAGAAGGGCATTTATTTTTGCACGAAAATCCCCAACCCATCAAGAATAACTCGTTGGGTCATTTTTATGTATTTTTGAGCCCCTTAACCCTAAAAACTATTGAGTGTCTTCCGGTTCGCTCCCATAAAAGCATTTCTTGGATTTTCCAGCAGCCGCATGATGATTGATAATAACGTAAACCGTAAACTTTGGGCAAAAAGGAAAATTTCCGCTTTGGTAAGAGTTGATCCAGCGTGAAGAGATTGGACAATAGCTTATTTCCGCTCAAATTACGACTAGGCATTGTTTTTTCACCATTATTAGTTTGTTTTTTCTGTGTAGAAAGAACAGACTTCCTTCTAATGTTAAGGATGGCGAATGACCCTATGCGCCTACAACAAGCAGCCCGCCAAAGTTTTTCCTAATTTAGGCACCGTACTCGGCATACATAGGTGCATAGAAATAATAAAAAATATTCATACCTTCTGGAGGCGAGGAAATAGTCCACGTGCCGAGGAAGATGGCAACCTCGAGCAGGATAGGGAAAAGCCAATGTAACAACTGATGGTCGGTCAGCTTGAGTTTATGGGCTGACTTAACGCGGTAAGTTAGAGATACACGCCATGTCTTGAGCAGCAACGCTGAGTAAGTAATGCAGAATCCCATATGCCGTGTCCATTTAGTTGCAACACAGCACGAACGATCGAGAACAGGAAAGATCGCGGCCATCTCACAGTACATAATGGCACAACCCAAGAGGGTTATGCACAGAAATACCGGCGAGGCTGCCTTTATTACTTTGACTCGTCTGTGGTGTTGGGAATAAATGTAGAAACAACAAGCCGATTTCATAGTTAGTACAAGAGCTCGGCGCATCGTGCTGCTCGATTTCAGAGTGATGTTTCTAAAACAAAATGCGATGATTAAACAAAAATGTTCACATTAAGTATACTGTGAGCACATACGCCGGTATTTGAGCTTATTCCATTCTATTAACCTTGGCTATTCAAATTGGCCGCACACCGTCCATTACCTAAACTTGTAGACGTAGGCTGCCAGGACAAGCGTCATTAGTATGCACATAACTGAGATCGCGAGCAACGTTATACGAAACGGCCAATGGTAGTGGGAGAGGCATGGGGTGGCATCGATACAAGTCGTGCAGCCCGGTGCACAGGGTAAACATCGAAACCCATTTCTGTAATAAATAGTAATTACACATATTAAATTCGTCAACCTTTTAAATTATCATTTTGCTGCTATTACCATATTTTTACTCTAAGAAAAACAATCGAATCATATCAATAAAGTAAAAAAAGTAAGACATAAAATTGAGGAAATAGAATTCTTATCGGTATAATTATCCTATGAACATATTCGGTATTGTGTAAAATGGTTTCTCATCACTCGTTACTTATTTTAGTTACCAGGCAAAATTATTAACTATTAAGTCTATATGTAAAAAAAAAAAAAAAAGAATATTTTTTGCTCGCGTTTTACAAGAAATCATCCATAAAAAAGAAATTCAGCTAAGTGTTGCCCAGATTGACTGATATTACTGATTGGAATAAGTTGCAATGAACTTTTTCAGTATCAAGGTCACGAGACTTTCAAAGTCTCGTTTGCCTGCTTCACCGACAGCGATATTATTCATACAAGCTTGCCTCGCAATTGTAAGGTGGGAAGTTTAATCTCTGTAGAGGTATAAACATTTCACGGAATTTCTTGAGTATCAGTACTTATTACGTAACTTCTTACTTACTTCTAACAAGATCGAACGTAGGACAAATTATTTGTCCTCTATTATTAATAATTACCATTATTGTTAGTGAATAATATTGCTTGTAAATTTTAATAAATAAATAAGCGATAATAAAATTTTCTTCAATGAAACTCGTTCTTTAAGTTTCGCTCCCTCCATTTTTGCATAAGTTAATTTGCCCAAACGCAACATGAGCACAAGTCATTGAAGGTTATCCACTACTCAGATGGTGATTTGAGTGTCAATCATAAAATCTATGAGAAACACAGACTAAAAGGGATTAATATTAAACTTGTTAAGGTGTCCTGTTGTGGCAAGATCAAATCTATTTATAGACAAGGCCCTGATGTCGTAATGATGAAGTGTCCATTGTCCAAAAATCCCGACTTCTGTATACATAGTTCTTAGCGTCGTAAAAGCGGAAACAGATGCCGTTAAAATTAATCCAATATCTGTTTGATTTAAATTTCAAACAACGGTAAAAGAGAAAATACTGGGCCCGTTCCATCCCTGTGGGGCCTGCCGTGTGCTCGAGATACAACTTAATAATTTCTAATGTATTGTACTATTTTAAAATCATTTTATGCGCAGGTATTATTAGGGCAGAGCCTATTTTGTAGCGATCAAGTGCGGAGCGCGACCCCGCTAGTTGGACTTATTCTGATCGAGATGGCGATTCACTAACTTTCAATCCCTGTATTATGCTTTACTACAAATCCATTCAGTTTTTCCTTTAATGGTACTAAAAATGCTCTTACTTTATTGAACCCAAGTGGCATATGTTAAGTCTGATATTATTAATTGGATAGTAAGTAGTAGAATAATAGTAAACGTTAAGTAGTTAACAAGTTCAACGATTCTCAAATGGCCAAAGTGGCATGTTTCGAGAGCGATGTAACGTAGTGTAAATCTTAGAAGGACAGATAATAGCAATATATAACATGACACAGTAAATCACGGCTTGACACTCGCCTCAATATGTATCTAGATGACAACTAGAGAAACAAGTATATGATAGACAATAAAAATCCAATAAAAACACAAAAAAGACAATAAAAAAAGAAAAAAAAAAGTAGTTATTCGATATAGGGGAACCACATGGTGGTGCCAAGGAACGTGATAGTAGTATGCACCGTCATGCGTACATGAAAGCAGTCTCTGAAACAAAACTAATTGTCAGCCAAGGTCTGGCGGTAATGATACAAAATCGATAATCATATAGAAACTATGATATGAAAGTTGTATTAATTGGCTTCATGGTAAAACCCTATGTTCGAATTGATTTGAGGCGGTAAGTGTTCGCGGGAAGCTAAATTTCAAGCGTTATTTCCCTAAAAATAATGGTGATTGATAGCTACATATAATATTTTATTTAAACGATTAAACTAGAAATCGCGGGTTCTTTCTGTAGACAGACGACGTAAAGTCCATTTAGTTTCATTATGATTGTTCCATTCAGGTTTTAGCTTAGCTGACTTTAAACCATGACCAAAAAACTAAAGTATAATAAAATATTATAAAAACGATTTTTTTTTATACATGCACTAGAAATAAGTCTAATTACATAATTTACGAAACAGACTAATTTAGGGAAATTATTATTGTGAGCTTACTCTTAGTTTTTATAAATTATTCTTATTCCTTTTGAAATACGTATATAGGATAGTAACTAACGATGTTCTTTACTTTTGTAAAAGACCTTGTACGTAGGGTGAATCAATCAACCTGCAAGGAGATTCTGCCAGTTAAAACTCTGACTTGGTGCATTTCGTATGAATAGTTAAAACTTGCAAGAAAACGGTGGCAATATTGCTTTTCAAAATTCGGCCAAACGTCTTTAGCTATTTTCTATTCTAGAAGCGACAAGCAAATCTATTCAAAGTGAATATTATTTATCATGTTGGGCTTATTCTAGAGATTGATACCAATTAAGCACAGGAATCTGGCGAAAAATCTAACTTTTATTTAGTGCGGCATATGTGGGATTAGCATAAAGTAATCTTATTTTTATTATTTCTCAGTCTAGGAATATCATGTTCTCGGGATAGTCTACGGAAGCCTATATGTTGTCTAGGACGCAAAAGTAGTGAAACAATATGATTCTTAAAAATTTATTTGAAAAATACTATACAAACGCTAACAGTGATACACAAGTTTGAATTTAACGCAACTATATAACTTATCAAGCAAAAAACAAAATATCAAGCATGTTTTACCCATATATCTATCTTGAGAACAAGCCGCTTCCATTATGCAGGGAAGAAGTATGTGTAGGATAGCAGGTTGTATGAAATATAGTAACTGTTGCATCTTAAAACCTAAAATGACCAGAGAATTTATTTATATTATGGCAATTAGGATTAAATTAAATATTAGAAAAAAAAAATTGCTAAATCTTACTGAAGGTAAACTAATTTCGAATGTTTTACGTACGTGTTGTTTGAGAATCGAAAGGCATCTTCTACTATGGATCCTCGGTATGGTTGAGGTCCGATAGACGCGTTTGGGTAGAATCCTTCTCGACAACGACAGACATAAGCTCCACGCACCCAGCCCTTCCGTGGCGTGAATTCGCATTCACTGGTTTCATTGTGACATTTATGTGTGCTTTGAAATGTCACCTATAATTAAAAATGCCATTACTTATAATATTTCATTTATGTTGAACCTTTACATTAAAGATTGCTTCAACACACTCACTATAAATGATTAATTTCAGTTACCGTACCATAATTAGTTTACCAGCGACACCGTTATCACCGTTTAACTTTCTCACTAATAACAATATAAAAAAAAAAAAAAAAAAGAACTATTATTATATCATAGATCTTGTCAACGATGCTACCGTCGTGATGTGTCTGTTCGTTTACCTTAAGAAAATCTGAATCTGAATTTTGAAATAGATGCTTGAGGTCAACGATACCGAACGTAGTATTCGAATAAGGTACTTCGTCAAAGCTATTCGTATGTACACATGTGTTGCAATGTATCCTTTTAAGTGGCGTTTTATTATAGTGTAATAGTCTATTACTGCTAATGTTCATTTTCAGCTGTGCCTATCATTGCTTGTAGCCTACTCTACCGCTTAGATAAAAGATTTATCACAATTTCAAGGTAATGAGAAGTTACGTAAAAATGGTTGATAGCACTATTGTCCGAAATTTCGAATATCACAAGGTACGTCATAAAACTATACCTATAAAACTCTAAGGTATATGATACAAATAGAGCTAGGATTCAAGCACGCTTTTAGAAAATTCAATGTTTATCTTTCTTAGAGTCTGCACTCCGTAAAATTTCCTGTGTTAATTTCTCGGAGAACTTTGACAACGATCGGCTTTGTTCATTACTCGGAATGTTTAGAAAGGCAGAAGAATTATGTATGAATGAGATCGCATATTGGGACTAGCTGAAGACTATGTCAGAGGAAGCTGTAATGTATTAAGTGTTTTGTTCATAGCTCACATCAACTCGTAGCTATATGTCAGCGAGTCCTGCCATTGCAGTACAGCATACTTTTCCCAACGTTAAGATGGCTTCTGGCTAACCCGATAAATCTTTAAAACCTAGAGCTTTGCAAAGAGAAGTCGACCTTACTTTGGCAAATGCGTTACCTTTCCTATGGAAACGAGCCTAAGGCGATACTGATTGAATAGCGTATCGAAAGGCAATATACCAGCACAGCCGGGTAGGTAATGCTGACCCATCTCTTGAATCATCTGAGTGTAGAGCAACTAGACATCGACTGCATTACACGATGGAATAGGTGGAAATTATGTTATGGAAATTATGGAAAGTGTCAGTATTTTAGGTCTCACAAAATAGACATAAAGACAGGAGTTGTCCACTGCCGAACCCGTGCTGAGCTCATCGGTATTGTAAAACACCACATCGAATGCTCACGTAGGCTGTAGATGCTCCATTTTGTTTACATTTGGCACTACGATTCAAATTCATGTTGTTCGTTTATGAGTATAGTGGATAATCCACAACTTCTACTGACGAAGTCCCTTTCGCTCAACAGTTTCGTGCATCTCCTTTTGACGCGTTGGCTGTCACGCGAAGTCTGCCTAACCTTGCCTCGACGAAACAAGTGCGACCTTCCCAGCTTAGGTGGATGCTCTATATAGCCCCTGCAGTGAAATATGTTTGGTTTAGCCATGAAAGAAGTAGTTAATGCTTCAGGAAGGGGCAGAGTTTCGAGCACCACTTGAGAAAGGCGACATCGTGGCTGTCGCCAACTCTGAGAAGCCCACTCAAGCTGTTCTGTCTTCAGGCCCTTAGACAGACATGCTTAACGCGAACCTAAGCTCAGCGCTTTTTGCTGCGGACCCACTGATTGACAGTGTTCTCGTAGCTTCCATAAAGGTTTGAATCGAGCTGCTATTGCAGACGTCCCTTCTGTTCAGTCAGTGTGATCATCCGGTGATTTCGACAACGTTATGTCAGAACCGCGCTATACATATGCGGGAAACTATGTGTTATAATGTTGACTTATGTTTTCGTTTATACAGTCCATGTATTTCCATTGCTCATCCTAAATAAACACTATCGAAACAAGCAACTCAGAGCGTGCAATGAGGTTTTCTCACACGTAAAGTATCGCTATGCCTATGCGAGTCACCACCTAAGCCGCAAAGATCAGCTACAGGGACCAGGGGCGAAGTTGGTAGGTTCTCGCAATAAATCAATTCTTGGGACTGTGTTGGTCTTCCTGAATGCGCCATTTTATCTTCTGCCCGTATTATACTGCCTAGTTGATGGACTTCTACATTGTGCCTCAGCACTAAACGGTTCTATTAGCACCAGTTTTTTTTGTCGATTTTGTCTTAGATGTGACAAGATATGACGAGTTTCTTGCTCATGCTTAGGCCAGTTGACAATAAAAGCGCCTCCGCATATGATGGTATAAAAAATTTTGATTTACAAGTGGACATGTTGAAGCTATTTGTTAAGCTAAATAATGTTGACATTCGCTTTATTCATCAGTAGTGGAATCTAAAGAAATGTTTCCATTTTTGCACTCGCTACTACCTTCAACCATCGTTTCAAAGAGCTAACCGGCCAGGGATATGCAAATCATGAATGAGCCTTAGCGAAATAATAAGTGCGTCCAAGATGGCCGGTGCTAATATGTGTTATTTATTAACAACCGTTTCTGTCGTAGACACAGCCATTGACCTGCTTTATCAGATTCAAGTCAATAAAGTCACTAAATATTTCCCACACGGAATCACTAGAAGTTCAGACGGATGCGAAATAGGTTCCGTGCTAGATATTTTACTTTTCTAATGAAAACATTAAATACATATTTTACTTAAATATAGCTTCACTTTTCAATACTGCTTGAATTCCCAGTGGCCTAAGACGTGAATTTTATCATACTTGGCCTTGAACATTCTTTTTTATAGCATCGTTTAGTACTAATACTGATATTTTGCCTTCAATAGGCACATCTTTTGGTGAAAAGCTCAAAAAATGTGTTTCTTTTACTTTTGCATTAAATTCCGATATGGAGATCTTGCCGACTCTATGGCGGTACTTTGAAATATATAAAGGCATTTTTTTTTCCAAATATATATAAATATCTGTAGGTCGCTGATACATGTGTGATACAACGTAATGGAGAAGTGATCGATGCTGAAACGAAATATCTCAAAATGGCCTCCAAGTACTATTACGGTGTATAACATTTAGAAAAAGTGGTAGTCTTTAATTAAGCATTTGGTGTGCAACAGATATTTGGCCAAAAACTGCTACTACATATACACGGATAGGTGATGTTGTGTGCAAGAACATTCATCTTGTATTTCAAAATGGCGATACTGTCCAAGGTGTGACATACCGCTAGATATTCTAGATGCACATTTATTCTTTAAAATCTGAGACTGAACGCTCGGATATGCTCACCCCAGCTTTTGGCAGGCGAGTCGCAGTAAGCATAAAATTTCACCTTTTACCCGTGTCATATCATTGAAAAAATTAGAAAATTCGAGTAGGTTATGGGTTCTATCATGGAACTACAGCGCAAAAAGGAGCTCTCCGTGCGACAACTTTAGTAAAGAATCTGCTACTAGAAGCACCATGAATCGTTGGGCTAAACAATTCTAGGAAAGGAATTTTGAACTTTAAAACAAATCGTGAGGAACCAGTTGTACGGATGGGAATAATTCAGATCTCGGATTTATCATACAACGAATGTACAACTAAAATAGCGTATGGATCTATTTGGTCATCTACATCAAGTACTATATACCACAGTTTCATACCCTGGTTCGTCAATTACAGCTGAAATGTACCCTGAACAACGGGACGGGACGATAGATAGACTATACAATAAGTGGCCAAATGATAGACCAGATCTAAGAATTTCTATTGCGCGACGTTAAATAACAAAAATTGCAGTGGACAGAACAGAAGAGCTACAGCCGACACAGTCTTGTGCTACTCACCCTACCTAGCAGACAGTACCTCCATAGATCAGAGTTTTTCAAAATTTCGCCAGTTCTTTTAGGACAACTGTCTAAATATTAACGTGTAATATCTATAGCATATTAACTCCTTTAGGTTCATCTAAATCTAATTTTATTTCAAATAAAAATCAACTTGATAAATTCTTGCATAGCTTTCACAGTGGAAAATTCTATAAGTTACCATATACACGGTAAAAGATTATACATAATAATGGTTTGCGATTGAAACTTAAGAACTACCTTTGTGTAAAATCTTTCAGCACATCTGCATCACTTGTACCAATATTTTACACACCTTTTTACCAATAGCGGCATCAAATCTTCTGGAACTTCAAAATCCGTAAGACAGAAAGCCCTTTGTACTGTCTACAGCTAGCCGTTTAGCTTATAGGAACTAAACTGAACATGATCCAAAATGAGTATTTTTGACGGCCTTTTCGTTTTCAGGCGAGCACAGTCGTTTTGCTCTGCCATTCCATTCAGACGAGTGGAAAAATTGTAAAAGGAAAAGACATTCGGAAAAGGGTTTTCTGCAAAAAGCTGTTTTGTAACTAAAATAGATTTCAAAGCTGCATTTAACACTGCCGCGCAATTGGAAATTGGCTTGGCGTGGGGTATCATGGCACTAACAGTGAAGCTCACAGCAGGCGATCATATACGTTAGACAAACTCCAGTTTAAAAAAAAACATGAATTTATAAGCTATTTCTTCTACATGGGATTGGAATTTACTGCAAGCGCATGTTAGCTTAATAGGTTAGTAAACGAAGTATTGACTGTAACCCATGGACAAATATTCCAATTAAACCTGAAGCACCGAAACGCTCTTAATTGTCCATAACGAAAGAATCGACAGTCTTTGTCGGTGAGCTGTTGTGATCTTTTATTTAGAATCATTTAAAATGTTTTCCTTTAATTTTGAGTATATGAAAATTAGACCGAATTTCATGTAATGTCAAGTGACATGTTCTTCAGAGGCCCTCCTATAATAAAAGCATATTGCTTGAGTTGGTCTCACAGTTTACATCGTAACCCTTACGACCCCCATAATCCTTTTAAAATTTAAAATGTGTAAGACGTATTCCGCTCGATGGATATTTAGGATAATTCCTATACTAAGACAGTGTACTGCTACATAAGATTTAAAACATAAGACATACTTACCCGATCGTAAATTAATTTCGTATCTATGGTTGTTGTACCTATAATCAATATTTACATACCAGGGTAGCTGTGGTTTGTGGGTGTGGGCGCAACTCTGGATCGCATTGATCGATGTCAATGTCTGATACGTCGAGGTCAACCCCAAGTACTGCCACGCGGTACTTAGTCATCACGAACGACAGATGTGAAACAACCCATTTACGATATTCACAAGAAAAATACGGCAATGTCCAGGTGTCCTGTACTGCGTAAGGTTTAGGTGGTTGGTCAGGATTACTGTGTTGCGGCCAAGGCATTGGTTTCTGTAAAACGAGAAATTAATAGAAGGGATGGCCAAAGGGTTAGATAGCAACGAAAAGATAAGGGAAAACCAAGGCTTTAATTCCAGGATTGCTATTATTAGGTTGCCGAAATAGAATTGACTTTTTTAGCTTGATGCCTCTAATATCACATATCTCAGGTAATATGAATCGTGCTGGGTCAACACCCCACAAAAAAAAATTGCTGTTTGTGGCCAAGATGCGTTACTGGAAGAAATAGTCTCAAAAATGGGTCTCTCGCTTTTGTTCTAAAGACTTCAATGCGAAAGGCGCTTCTCGTAGTGGTCGAGCGTGAAAATATCGATGAAATTATCACGAAAGTTGAGTAAAACCAACACGTGAAGAGCCAGAACATCGCCGAAGAACTACGTATCTACCATCAATATTTTAAACAATTTGTAGAGTATTGGCAGCAAAAAGAAGGTCAGATGCCATACGAATTAACACGAAACAATTTACTCGATCGTATTTCTATCTAAAAGTACAGAAACGCAATGAAATCCAGCCACTTCTACGGCGACTAATCGTGGGGTATGAAAAGTAGATCACATACAACAACAGTGTACAAATGAAAAATAAACAGAGCTTCATAACCTGTGGCAAAGTCCAAACAGATAACAAGAGAAAGTGATGGTACATGTTTAGTAAAATTTGCAGGGAATAATGCCACCTGAGAAGACGACTGACACGAACGTCTGCTACCAATGACTAACAGTTTTATATCAAACTACTGAAAAAAAATTGATTGTAAATCGATGAATAAACAAAAAAGACGTCGTCTTTCACCATAACAATGTCAGACCACATGCACTTTTAACTATCCGATAAAAATTGGGAGAACTTGAACGGAAAATTTAATGCGTCGGCCCTAGAGCCGGCCTGATCCATGCAGGGACTGTCATCTTTTTCAGTCTTTTCAGAACTTCTTCAATGGCGTTCATTTTGTTTCAATGGAGGGATGGAAAACTGAAAAAAAAAACTTGTCATATTTTTTCATTTAGAAATTAGAGAATTCCTACAGATACAGTAATAAACGGTTACACGATACAGAACAATGGCCAAAGACCACCAGCAATGAGCAAATAGCACATACACAGTTTAGTAATGTTATTTTCATAGTTGCGTATTTTATATTTATTTTCATATTTTCGTAGTTGTTTCAAAAAAAAAACGGTGGAAAAACGGTCGATACTTTTTTTGACAACTTACCACTTAAAAGTTAAGGAAAAGGAGAACGACCCCAACAATTAAATCCCACAATTTTTTTTATTTGCAACTTTCATCAGAGGAGTTTCACATTAACAAGTGTTTGTATATACATAGGAATATAAGATCGTGACCAGACCCAATAATCGCAAAAAAAAAACAAAAAAAATTATATTATTTGATTCTTATTCTTCATGAACGTTACAAATGACGATATATGAGCTTGATAAATCTTAGAATACGGCAGTCGAATGAGCACACGAACGATTGACTCAAGGTGCTGAGAACCTAAAGAAAAACAAGAGCCGAGCCTCAGAGCTCCACGGACAACTGCTAATTCGTAATGATCGAGAGCAGGTAGAAAGCTTATGGGTAAAATGAAAAGTGCCGAAGAGGGAATCCATACACGCAGCAGGAAATGCTGTTAAAGAAGAAAACTTAAGAACACAAATTAAGTATTTATCATTATATATTTATTATAGGTAAAATAGACCAGTTGTGGGAATATTTATAAAATAAAAAAGCTCAACAAGTCCACGAGGAATCAAGGGAAAAGACAAACACTAAGAACAATTGAAAGTTTTCGACTTTTCTTATCTACCTTTTATCGAAGCCAAAAAGCTGTCGAACCGATTAAAGATAGGTACGGAGCGCAGAGCGAGTTATGGTTGAGGATTCTACTGAAAAATAGCTTAGGTAACCCAAACTTCAGTCAATGCACGCCATTCAACTTCACTCGTCGCGAGTCTCCTTAACGTCACTTCTAAACAAAAATAATCGTTAAATAAATTCGCCCCTGTGAACTATATACTCCGTGTCGTACACGAAGCAAATGTTCTAGTTTGTCCCAGAGTTTTTGGTCATTGGAAAGATAGGAAATAAACAAGTATCAAAAATACAGTCTGTTTGCCATTCAACATGCTCCCCAAAAAGAATAAGGATAGGACTTTGTGATCTTGACGAGCAAAATATCTTGTTTATTATATTTAGGCAAACGAAGAACTTTACAGCCATCTATAACGACGGTACGACCATCAGCAAACGAAAAATTAAATAATTTGGGTTTGTATGTGTCCGGAAGAGATCAGACGCGAGGAGCAGTAAACAAAACCGGCCGTTATTATTACTTTTCTATATGCAAATCTAAAATGTTACATCGTAAGAAACCACATTCTTGCCCGAAAGAGCTGTGCTGTAAATATTTAGGTTGTGGAAGGTCCCCAGTAAGGATGACAATGCTGTTCCGGTACGTATCAGCATATAAGTAACTAATTAAGACCCTCCATATTTCCATATACGTAATTTTGTTTAAGCGATGATTGTTAGTGTCTACCATTCACGATATTAAACGTTTGTGAATAGGTGCTAAGAACACCTAAATCATTATTTTGATGAGAAGAGATATGGAAGCGTAATTTTTCTGTAATATAAAGGATATTCATAGAAAAAAAGCAGTGAACATTAAAGATCTAAAATAACATACAAAGAGGAATGTGAGTATTTTAAAGTGGTACTAAGTGTCTCTGCTGACGCTGAGGACACCCACTCATGTATGCAAAGTAGAGCATCTAAGCGGGATTAGAGTTTTTTCGAACAAAGACAAATATTTGAGCATTTTCTTCCGTGTGCTAAAAACACTTTTACTTAATTTAACCGCCAGTAGTTGCGATGACAGTTTCAATTCAGGAACTAAACCGCTCGGAAGCTTTGCAACGCTGCAAACATCTTTTGGATAGTAAAAAGTAAATAAATCGATATTGCCATGTCAAAACCTGTTAAACTTTCGCTCAATTACGCCCTGTACATAGTAATTCGAAGTATTAAAATCTGGGTTGTTCAGAATCCTCATTCCGGAATCATTTTATTAACACCTGTTCACGCACTCCAGCTATCCACGATTGCATAATGATTTTTGGACTGCTCGCATAATGTATTCGCCTTTTTTTTGGCAAAAATATGGTGATACGACGTCTTTTTACTGGATACCACACTTCGAATACTAGCATTGGCCGGAAATTTAGTTTTATCTAAAATTCTGGGTTGTAAGGGAACCAATGGTTATTTCTGCAGCTGATAAATGATTTTTTCTTACCAGACCCGTTGGGATAATTGAGAGCAAGCGACACCGATCAAATCCCTCAGTTCATTCAACTCAAAAATGTCCGTGCTTCTACGAAATATGACGTGTATGGTTACTTATATGAAATCTTTTTACTAATGATCTAATTAAAACAGAAAAATCGTCAGAAATACGCTTTTGAGCGGCACCGATTAACTGTGAAGTTGGCACTGTTTTTTTTTTCCATCTCGTCGATTTTTCATTGTGCTGTGGTGGAGACTGCTTGCTTTACTCGTACTCATTCATGGCATAGTACCCTGCTGATTTGATTTATGATTTCGTTGACGCTTCGTTCACCGCGAATACCTTGGATGATATCTAATTTTCGCTCAAATTTCGAAAAGGACCTGCTATCTTATATCGTGAGTTTGCCGTTTCGTTCTAGAAAGAACTTGTTTTATTAGTACAGCAAATAGTATATGAACGACTACCTGGTGCGGTAAAAAGCTCGCTAAAGTTTAATCCAATTATAAAGTTCAATATATATATATATATAAGGCACGGCAGGGATGGTGTGCTTACGACTTTCGCAGCGCTATTTGTAAAAATTCCCAGATAAAACAAAAGAAATTGAGAGAATTAGTTTAGACGACTCATAGCTTTGTGAGAGATTTGCGCTGACAGTTCGAATGATTTGGGCTTAATAATGTATTTCTTGGAACATCTGACTAGTAATTGGCACTCTGGCATGAGACGTGGTGTCATCAACTCTATCGCAAAGAACTTAATTAGAGGGAAAAAGTGTGCACGGCAGTTGAGACCACGTCAGGAACGCGTCTTTAAGATGAATAGGAAAACGTGTACTAAGAACCTACTAGCGGCGTGTATCTTGGTGCTAGTCAATTACAAGACTTCTTCGGTGAAACGTGCGGAGTATAGCGCAATGGCTAAAACGATTCAAGTTATTCGAGCTACGGGCAATAAGGTTGCTCGTTACTAATAAGTGTAGCGGATTCGCACGGACTCGAAGTCTCGATCACGCTCCGTCGTAAATAAAACTTCAGAGTGTTTGTTCGAGGAAGTGTTTTTTTCCTGAGACGAAAAACCCGCTAATTAAGGAGAGACCGAACGAGTGTTTACAATAGCGAGGTGAAGCTGTAGAGACATATATCCAGTGTAGTGAAAAACTTAAAAAATTCAAGCTGAGTCCTATGCTAAAAGGAAAAAGATCTTCGAGAATATATTGCCCAAGAACGAGCTTCAGTATCAGGTACTGGAAGTCATAAGGCGTGATAGAACTAAGTCATGATCTTGGATAGTGGTCGATAAAATAAGCTCAGTAACAACAGAAGCCGCAGTATCGCTTCAGACATCGTCAAATGCCGTTCGATAGAAATATGAGTGGTCATTATGAGGAGCAGAGTATATAGGTTCAACAGGCTGAATATTGTCGCCCTGAATGTAGATCTTTGGACTATAGAAACATGTCTACGATTTGACACGCCTCAATCGCGGCCAGTAGAGCGTGATAAAGAAAGTGCATACAAAAACGAGCCATAGAAACAAATTAGATGCATCACATGGGATACAAAAGTCAGAATTAAAGCCGAAGTAAGATAAGCATTGTAGCAAATTCTGACCGACATTTAGGTACGGATATTGCATTGTACACGGCCGCCGCTTGAAAAAGTCTTGTTTTGCAACAGATCCACCGGAA